TTGGCTTCTTGATGTCTTAAGTTATTTTGACATTTTCAAGGGATATATATTCCGAACAGTCTCTTTTTGCCAATGGGAACTAGAGCCGAGCTGAGCCCAGAGCTGTCTGGACGGTGAGCGCGGTGCCGTGTGGCCCGTGGACAGGGGCTGCACGCTGTGCTGGGGGACCTGCAGCTTTATGTGGAAGGTGCCCGTGGCTCTCAGTCCCAGAGTGTGCTCCTGTGGGAAAGCCTGCAAGGGTGAGCTGTGCACGTCTGCCATTGGCCGTCATTAGCTCTGATGGCTCGGGGTCTCAGGGAGATGTGCCATTGCCCCTCTCTGCGGTCTCCCTGTCGCCCTACAGCTTTCCAGCTCTTGCTGAGTCCCCGGCGAGTTTCAGGGACAGAGGCAGAGAGGGGGAAAGAATACAGTCCCGAGCCAAACTGGAGAAGAGAAAAAAGGGTTACAGAGTCGTGGCAGGATGAGGTGAAGGGGCTAGGGTGAGAGCAGGTAGAGAAATGATGTCACCCACAGTTCACAGAGGACGGCCCTGCTGAGAGCGAGGCCCTCTGGATTTGATTCGTAGCTGGTCTGGGGTTGGCTCCTGGGGGACTGATCAGAGGCAGGGTACAGGCTAGACGTGACCCCCCCCCGCCGCCCCCGCGCCGCCACGGGAGCCTCCAGCTCCGGGGGACTGTGCCCCTTGCTGCTTGGGTCGGAGGTGGGCCGTCCAGCCACAGTCCTACCCAGTGGTCTAGTGGTCTTAGCCCCGGCTTGAGCTCCTGCCCCTGCCAGACAAGCTTTTCCTCCTGGGGTGCCCTGCCGCTCCCATTCAGCCCTGAGTCCTCTGTGATGATTCTCACTGGTGCATCTTTTCAGCAGACGTTTATCAGCCGCCTGTCACTGCCAGGAACCACGCTAGGCATGGAGGGGACAGTGATGAACTTGCCTCTGATCCTGCTTTGAGAGTGCAGATGGTCTAGTGGGAGACGGAGAAAACTTACGTCTTAACTACACAGCCTTTTATTCCTCACCTGTTTTATCAGCCAGTCTTGCCTTCCTATCACTTATTCCCTGTCTGGAGTGTGTCTGAGGCCTGTGGCGCTTCCATACAGAGACTGCAATGTGCGTTTCCCACGTCTTGTAATGATCCTACTTACCTGCCTGAATTACTCATTATCAGTAATTCTTATCTGTGCATGGTGACTGTTATATTTGCATAAAGAAATGTGAAGTATGTCCTGGAAACTCAGGAAAGTTGTTACCTCCTAAATGTATCATTTTGATGTTTGAACCATGTGATTATATCACCTATTTCAAAAAAAGTTTTAAATTAAAAAGAATGCATCTTTCAAAAATGCATGCATTCCAAAAGCTAATTTTTCTCTTCTGGAGATCATATTCACTCAAATGTGTAAATTAAATTTAAAAGAAAAAGTGCATATCTGAGAGAAAATGAAAACCAATGTATTACCTATAAATGTAGCTTTGAACATCTCTTGTTATTTAATATTAACATTTTCTGCTGTTCATCTGACATGGTCTAGCCAGGGAAAATCTTTTCATTTTTTTCTGTCTGGCTTTGTTTTTCTTAGTGTATTTAGATCCTCTTCCGTTCTCTGTGTTAATTTTCAGTGTTGTGATGTCATGTGAATTAGGGGTCACAAATGATCTTGGAGAGCAGGCAGACCTCCGCAGGGGCCATGGTTTGTTTGCTTGTGTGTTTTTAGCAACAGTTGACATTGTACAACTGACATGGCTGGGACTCCTGTTTTGTGTTTTTACAACAGAGTACTGTGTCGTTGTCATCCCACTGTGGGACAGGTGCCCCCCCGCCCCCGCCATCTGTAAGGCTTTGTTTGTGACTTTGTTAATGCGCAGCAGCCTCCCACCCTGGGAAGGATGAAGGGTCCCTTTGAAAGTCCATAGATCTTGGTCTCATCCAAGTTACAACCTTAAATTCTGATCCACACTTGCTTGTTAAAACTAGGCTAAGTGGTTTTAACCTCCCCTGTGCCTTCATTTGGAATGTTGGGGCTGGAGAGACCCTTGGAGACCACCAGGCTGAGTCAGGCCTGCTCACCTCTGCTGCCTGCAGGCTGCTTGGTCTTCACTCGTGCCTGCAAATGACAGACCAGTTTGTTTTTTAGGTAACAGTTTAACTGAGATACTATTCACATACCATGCAGCTCATCCATTTAAAGTGTACAATTCAATGACTTTTAGTACCTTCAGAGTTATACAACCATCACCACAATTAGTTTTTTAACAGTATGTAATATGATTCGATATCTGTATACATCATGAAATGATTGCTGCAACCAATGAAATTAACACATCTTCTGCCTCACATAGTTATGTGGCTTTTATTTTGTGGTTTTTTTTTTTTTTTGGTGGTGAGAACACTTAAGTTCTAGCAAGTTTTCTCCTAGCAAATTTCAAATATTATACAATAAAGCGTTATTAACTGTAGCCACCGTGCTGTGCATTGGATCCTCAGAATTTATTCATCTTATAATGGAAAGTTTGTACCTTTTGAGCAGCATCTCCTTATTTCCCCCATCCCACAACAGTTGGCAAATGTGTCTGGTTCCATGGGTTTGATGTTCTAGATTCTACATATATAAGTGAGATTGTGTAGTATTTGTGTTTTTCTGTTGGGCTTATTTCACATAGCACAATGTCTACCAGGTTCATCCATGATATCACAAATGATAGTATTTCCTTCACTTTTATAACTGAGTAATGTTATATGTGTATAGAGTGGTAAAGAGCCAGCCTGCCAGTGTAGGAGAGGTAAGAGACATGGGTTCAGTCCCCTGGAGGAGGGCATGGCCACCCACTCCAGTATCCTTGCCTGGAGAAGCCCGTGGACAGAGAGGCTGGTGGGCTGCAATCCGTAGAGTACACAGCGCTGGATGTGATTGAAGTGACTTATCATGCACGCGGCATGGTATATACACCTACATACATACATTGGTGTGTGTACATGCACACGCACACGCGTATATGTGATACAGAGATAGCTCACACCTTCTGTTTCCATTCATCTACCAGTGGATGAGTAGGGTGGATATGGATAACTTGACTCGTGAACAATGCTGCAGTGAACATGGGTGCACTCTCCACAACGGGAAGCCTTGTGGCATTGCCATAAGCTTCTAGCAGTGCTCTCTGGCAGTGATGCCGTCCGGCCCAGTGTGACTCTGTTAATATGTGAGAGTGTCTTGTTTTTAAAGCATTTTTCCCCTTGTGGGTCCCTTAGGATTAGTCCTTGCCATGTATGTGTAGCAGGTAGGGGTACATGTTTCGGCTCTTTGTATTCTGGAGAACATAATTGTTGCTAATGAGAATGCTTTGCTTGCATCTGATTTGTTCTTGCTGCTGCTGCTTTAACAATAAATAAGGACTCAGGTTGTGTATTTAACATCCCATCTTCCTTCAGCCCACACCTCCACTATAGGATCAGCTTTTCATTGCTTGTACAGCTTTTAATTACATGGAGCTTTTCTGTCTTAAGTGGGATATAACTTTTCTCCTTATTAATCAGAAAAAGTCACCAAGAATGTTATAATTTATAATTGGGAGGAATAGTCACAAATAATCTTATTTTTCTTCCCTTTTTTTTGTTACACTACTTTTATCACAAGACAAGAAAAAAAGAGGATTTTTGGAAGTAAAAATAAATTATTCATTTTATAAAAGTTGGCCTAGTGTTTACAGCAAAGGAATTACATACAGGAGAATGCTGGGGACTTACTGAATAAGAGAAACTAGATTTCATTATAAATACAGGCTTTCAACACAGAGACAGGGATACTTTATAAATACTGTGAGGAGTTTTCAGAGATAATAGAATAACAGCAAATACTAACCTGGTTTCACCAATTTCTAGTGCATTTTTTAAATAACACTGTTTCAGTGATAATTTTTCATACTGTCTTCGAATTCACAGCTCCACTGAGGTGCCATGCGTTTTCAGAGCAATTGAGAGTCTGTCTTAAGATTTCATGATGTATATGGTGGGACATTTGCTTTTTTAAATAAAGTTTGTTATTATTTTCTGAAGTAAAATTCACATAACATAAAATTAGCCCTTGAAGAGTGAATAGTTCAGTGACATTTAGTTCTTCATGGTGTTGTGCAGCCCTCATCTTTGTCTCATTCTAGAACATTCCCATCAGTCCTGTAGAAAGCTCTCTGCCCACTGAGCACTTCTTTCCCTTCCCTCTTGCCGCCAGCCCCTCAGAACTGATGATCTGTTGCTGTTATGTTTACCTGCCCTGGACTCTTCACGTGAGTGGACGTGTATAGTAAGTGACTTTTTGTTCCTAGCTTCTTTTACTTACCATATTCTTAAAGGTTCATCCATGTTGCAGCATATACCAGTCCTTCATTCCTTTTTTTAAAAGAATTGACATTATAATCTTAATGTTTTAAATTGTAATTTTAATGTAATCTCTTTCTTGGTCTAGTTCATTTTTTATTGAGGTATAATTGACATATATTAGTTTGTATAGATTAGTATAATTGACATATACCAATTTGATTATTTGTATATTATAAAGTGATCACCACAGTAAGCCTGGTTATCATCCATTACCACACATAGTTACAAATTTTTTTTCTGATGATGGGAATTTTTAAGATTTACTCTTATAGCAACTTTCAAACATGCAATACAGTATTATTCATTATGGTCATTGCTATGCATTACTTTTTAATGGCTGAATAATGTTCCATTGAATGGATATATTACAGTTTATTTATTCATTTTTTCCAGAAGATTTGCTCTGTATTGCACAAACCCAGGACTTAACATCTCAATCTTTGTTATGGGATGAATGCAAAGTTAGTGTATTCTTTCTCTCTTTCTAAAACGAAATAATCATGCCAACATTTATTTAGATATATAGTGAGAATGCCTCTGAGCAATAGAAATGAAAGGACTTTGAAAAGAAAATACTATACAGTTGCTAGATAGCTTGTGTTCTTATGGTTCAGGCTAATCGTACCTTGATTTAGAGTGGCTGTATTCTGTACAGTACTCTAGCATTGTAGACATTTGACAGCTCACTCCTCAGCCAGCATGTATTATGCGTCAGCTGTGTACCAGGCACCACACTCAAGTTCATGGCCTGGCTGGTCCAGCGGGGAGAAGACAGGTGGGTAAATGATGACCGTCCCGTGGTGGGCATGCCGATGGCCCACGTGGGAGAGGGCTCCCAGTCGTGCACAGTATCTGGCAGGGCTGGGGAACTGGGCTGGCCCAGGAGGGAGACTGGCGCCAGAGATTGGGTCCAGCGCCAGAAGCCGCGTGTGCAATGGGCGGGGGCAGGAGAGGCTGGACTGCAGGCGGGCAGAGCACGCCCAGGGCCGGGCGGGGTTCTTCCTTCTGCAGGCATTGGGCTCTCCGGGAGGGTTTTCCACTGCACCAGCATGCCTCTGGTTCATTCATTCTAAAGTTTTAATAATTCAGTATTGATAAACCCAAGTGATGAGTTGAGTCCCACAAGGCTTTCCTCATCCCTGGAAGTCTTGGTCCCCTCCCACCTGACTTGCTGAGTACAGGTCAACTCTTTGGTTCTCTTTCTTCTGATTCCTACCCTAGCTTTTCCTTGATTTTCTATTTAGTGAATTTATATTTTGAGAAAATAAGGATGAAATAGATATTCTGAAAATTCAAATTTAATGAACGGTTAATAACTTTCATCCATTGATAGAGAAAAGCTAATCATCCCATACCATGCTTTTAAGGGTCATTGTTTTTGTTGTAGTTGTGGAAGTGATGGTGGTGGTTTTTTTTCTCTCTCTCTTTTTTTTAAGGGTTATTCTTAAAATGGCTTCATTTATCTAAGTATTTGAGTTGGTGATCAAATAACTCATTTCTTGATTACTTCACTCTGTGGATCTACAGGGACCTGTCTTTATATCCCTATTTAAATCTTCTTCTTAAAAATTTCACAGTGTTAACCTCTGCCAAAGTGGGTGCAGTTACTGTGGCTGGTAGTAAGCAAGCTGTTGATTTATTCTTGTAGGCATCAGAAGCAGCTCCCCCCTTAAAAGTGTTTTGTTGTGATCATCTCTACCACAACTCTGCACCAAGTTGTTACTTTGTTAATTCACGTTACTCAACAGGAGCTTACTTAAGCATGTGAAAGATTTATGATTTTATTTGTAGAAAAGACCCATCTCATTGAGCTAGCCACTTCACCCCAGGGCTGCAGGATGTAAGAGTGGGCTTTCTCCAGATGTGCCCTTGACCGCTGCCCTCTTAGGATGCCCTCTGAGCTATTGGAAACTCAGATAAGCGTTTTGCATGGGCCAGTGGGAATCATTAGTTTTCCTATCTATACTGTATTTGTTTTGTATTCTCTGGATCATTAGTCGTAAATAGTCCATTTTTACATGCCTGTGTTAGCTTCTTTTGTGTAATCTCTTAATAAGTGCGCTAGGGGAAGAACCATCATGGTAGTGTTATTTTTAATGGTTCAGAGGAACTATCTTTTCTGAGCATGGGTTTTTCTGTTCCATCTTTCTTTTCCAGGTAGGCTGTAACTCTGCTGTGGTTTTGTTTGGAAGTGGTGTTTTTGTCAAGGTTGCTACCACTGTGAAGTTAGGAAGCGGATGTCAGTGCCTGAGGCAGAACCATAATTACCTGGTTGGGCGTGACTTGTATTGTTGTGCGCCTCTTCATGAAATTTTGAAAAATTGAGTCCAAAAGTGAGATTCCCTTTTCCCCCCTCTAAAGGCTGTTTTAAAAGAAAAAAAATAAATGTAGGAGACCCACAGTTTTGAGGGTATTAGCCCGCTGTGGCCCCCTTTGCCTGGAAATAAAGCTATTCTTTTCTACTTAACCTCCCCCCAAAAGTTTTTAAAAATGTAATGAAAAAGCTATATGACTGTTACAAATAACCGAGAAAATATATTTTTTTTATTGTTGATATGCAGCAGTGTGCAAGTGTAATGGTCTCATAGGTAGATTTTATTTTGATATGTTTTTAGAAATGATGGAATCTAACATATTAAAATGCATGACTCTTAATTAAGGCAGGTTGTCATGGGATGGAGAGCATGAACAAAGCTTCGTCCTTGGCCCTAAGCTCCTCTCATCTGGGCAGCCAGGGTCCTGGCTGGTGGGCCCAGCCCCCTGCTGGTCCTGGTGGGACAGGGGGAGGTGGGGAGCGCTGGGTCTGTCCCACCTCCCAGCCCAGACCCTGAGCATTGCTTGAATATTTGTGTGTTTGTGTGGGGGTGGTGTTCTCCTGAGAATGCCGCTAAATAACAGGAATTCCCAGAGTTCCTCCGCCTGCAGCCTACAGCTGAGTGGTGCCTGCCTTCCAGCAGTGAGGTAAAATTCAGGTTAATGGGAGACAGCCAGACTTTAAAAAGCACTCTGGTGGAGACGGAGGTGGACTCTTTGGAAATCCACAGGTCCTTTTCCCACAGGGTCACCTGTCAGGACCTTGGATGAGCTCATTTTTCCAGGAAATTGGACGGAGGTCTCCTGATATCTTCAGCTCACTGAGGCTTTCCTTTTCCTCCTGTAACTTTGATTTAATTGATATGTAGTCTCTCCAAAGAGAGTATTCATCAGATTCCCTTTTTACACCATGGCATTGTGCAAGAGGTATCAGATTTTAAAGTAAAAGCACGCCTTTCTGGCTGTTCCAAGCTTGCATATTAATACATTTAACCAGTGTGAAATGTTAACCCATTTGATGTTTGTTGCAAAAAAGTATAGTTTATCTCACCTCTTATTTTAACTTTTTTGGACACAGAGTATATCAAAATAGTCAACAAGAGTTTTAAGTTTGTGAATAAATATTTTGCTCAGTGTTGTGAAAACTTTTAAACAGAAAGACCTAACATTTTCTTTGCCAGCAAAAACAAGATCGAAAAATAGCATTTCTCTGCTTCTCTGGTCTGCATCTCGCAACTGATTTGTTGGTGAGAGAATATGCTTTGTGTGGTATTGTTTAAATCACTAAAACCCTTTAAAATGTTACCAAACTCACCTCTCTCTGCTCCAACAAGTTAAGGCATCAGAAAGTGAATGGATGTTAACTCATATTCTCACACTTTCTGCCGATTCCCTTCTGTTCTTTTTCTGCAAAAACTCCTAGGGCTGTCTTCTGAGGCCCGCTCCCGGGAGCCTCCTGAGCGGGAGTGCTGTCTGCAAACTGGGAAAGGACCCACTGTCAATCCTTCCTTCTAGACTTGGGAAAGAAGGTGTCCCAGCGTATCAGATGCTGTCAGAATCATAACAGGTTGCACCACTGGTAATTAAAACTGGGGCCCAAATTGAAGGAGAAGTGAATTTTTTTTTTTTTTTGATACCTGGCATTCGTGAAAAAGGTTTCATTAGATCAGGATACGAAGGGGGCTTATTGGCACTTGGATCCGCCAGCACTGACATGGGTCTTTGCCTGGAAATTTATGAGTCTCTCCCGCCTTCTGACGAGTGTGCCAGCACCATGGCTTTTATGCTCATTAATCATGGCCATTTTGTTTTGTTTTTAAACTCACACATCATGGCACATGCTCAAAAGTTTTCCCAGGCGCCGCTTCCCTGAAGTGGGACTTGAGGCTCTTGCCGCTTCTGCCCTGGGGCGTGTCGTCTTAGCCCTTCTTGGTTTTCCAAGGCTCTCTTGATGCTAGTGGGCCGTTAACTTCCTCTCAGGACCCTTCTCCCAGTTGTCTCCTGGCTCTGCATGCTGGTGGCGTCTAACATGGACCTCCTCCTGGAGATGGAATTTGGGGTCCACACCGGTGGACTCCCCAGTTTGGAGGTGGTGGTGAGTCACCATAGGCTGACCAAATGTCCTTCTGCAGGAATTAGAAGTTCGGGGAAGAGAGGTTTGAGCAGATTTGTATCCCAAGGGCCTTTGAAGTGGGGAGCGGAGGGGTAGGTTCAGGGTGTGGGTGTCCGTGAAACTGAAATATCATGTCGCAGTTTGTGCGCACTCTTCTGAGCTGGAGAGCCCCTTGCAGTCATTAGATTCTCTGAGATTTCTGACCCTTAAACTTTCAGAAACCACCAGTCGGTGTGACGGTTCCAGCTGTGTCTTGCTAGCCCCCACGGCGGCCTCTTGGGGACCGGCTCCCTCTGGCTCTGTCCTGTGGATGGAGCCCTGGGCGGGCTTGCTGCTGAGAACCGGGTCACTGCTGTATCAGGAGGCGCAGCTCTCCATCTAATGGGGTCTTCAGTGCGGGCCGTGGGGCTGGTTGGCTGTGGCCCTGCTGTTTCTGGTGACTCTGTCCATCCATTCATTGCGCATCTTTCTGTTCACATGCCCGATGTGGAGATCAGGAAGGGGCTGATCCATAGCCTTTCCCGCTCCTGCTGCAGCACTGTCCTGATCTGTGGTGGGACAGTTGATATTTAGTCTGAGGAACAAGTTGATATAGGATTTGGGCTATTTTCCCTGCACGCTCCCCTCCTGTGTTGTTGTTCAGTCACTAAGTCATGCCTGACTCTTTGTGACCCCATGGACTGCAGCACGCCAGGCTTCCCTGTCCATCACCATCTCTTGGATGTTGAGCTGGTGATGCCATCCAACCACTTCATCCTCTGCCGTCCCCTTCTCCTCCTGTCCTCAATCTTTCCCAGCATCAGGGTCTTCTCCAATGAGTCAGTTCTTCACATCAGGTGGCCAAAGTATTAGAACTTAAGCTTCAGTATCAGTCCTTCTAACGAATATTCAGGATTGATTTCCTTTAGGATTGACTGGGTTGATCTCCTTGCAGTCCAAGGGACTCTCAAGAGTCTTCTCTCCAGCACCATGATTTGAAAGCATCAATTCTTCAACGCTCAGCCTTCTTCATGGTCCAACTCTCACATTCATACATGACCACTGGAAAAACCACAGCGTTGACTATATGGACCTTTGTTGGCAAAGTCCCAACCCCTTTGTTTGCCTGTCCGTCCCTGAGTTTCTCTGTCCTCACCGCTGTTGCCTGCGGGCTTCCCGGTTGCTCCAAACGGAGCAAACACATTTGCAGATGTGTGTACTTACATGTGCATATGTGTTTGACTTGAAAACGGGACAAGAAAGTGGTGCAGCAGAAGGTGAGGCAGTCGGTCCGGGCCAGGCGGTGCCCACAGAGCAAACTCCAGTGTGGCCTGAACGCATCCCAGAAAGAGCGGCTCTCAGGCGGGGCTCCTGCTGCCCACGAGGTTCATCTGCAGATAGCAGGGACTTCTGCCAGAGATAAGGCCTTTGTTTCAGAAGGAACAAGTACAAGGATAAGCAAAGGGAAGAAAATAAAGGGCAGGGTTAAGTTTGGATTGTTTGCTTGCTTGTTTAGTTTCTGGCAATTGTTATAAAGCCCAGGGTGTTCTTTGCTTACCAGCCGTGCACAGCTCAGGTTACGGATGTTCAGGCTGACTTTCCCTCCTTCC